TTTTTTTTTTTTTTTTACACCAGGGAGCAAGGCACAGTCAACGCTTTCATTTCCAGGCATATTCCGTATATTAGAGAGGTTAAGGGTGAAGGCACGGGGACAGCGTAGGGCCTAATAAGTGTTCAGTAAGGGCTAGCTGCTACTATTATTCTTTTTCAAGTTAAGAACAACCAGTAAGTTCCAGCAGGAGTTCATGTGCCTAGGATTCTGAAGATATTGCACTGCTAGAGCGGAGGGTGCTGGAACCCTCAGAGTCTATGCAAATGATGAGAACAGTCCCCCGGGGCGGCTCCCCCAACCATTGTTTACTGGCCGTGTGGCTTTGGGCAAGTTACTTGAGCTCTCTGAGTGACTTACCCGTCACTTTTCTTGTACAGAAAGCCCACCTTCTCCGTCCCAAACTGCTTGTTGCCTTGGTGCTGATGGATGCTGTAGCCACCTCCTGAGTTCTTCCGGCTCAGATTCTCCTGTTCCTCGGACACGCAAAGGACACCTTAGGGCGTCTGGGAAGAGCCTCACTGCGCAGGGGTCTCACTCAGGGAGACTTCTCAAGGGCCCCTTGAAGTGGGGTCTTCCTTCTCTCCCTCCCTCCACGGCCGGCCTTGGGAGAAGGCATTCATGTGGGCATGACTGAGGGGCTGACCTCTCTGCTCTCAAGCTGCAGTGTCCCTCGGAGGGAGTCCCGGAGCTGGGTCAGCTTCTGTAGCTCCTCCTCCTGGGCTTGACGCAGCTATGGGACAGAAGGCAGGACCCCGCTGTCAGCCCACAGATGTGCCGGGTGCACAGCCCGGACCAAGACTTGCAGGGCAGCAGCCTTGCTCTCTGGGCAGGGCCCAGCTCTTCCACACCCCCAGATTCTCCCGGGAAGACAGAGGACTTGACCGTGTGCCCAAGGGTGAGGCCCGACTTACTGCATGTACAGAGGCTGCCAGCTTCTCGATGAAGGGGGACAGGCTCTGAGCGGCCTTCCAGCCATCTTGGAAAAAGCTAAGAGGCGTGAGGCCAAACGGGGGACAAGAAAGGCGGGGAGAATGAGGGAGGCAGGAAGGGTGAGAGAAGGTGCTCTAAGGATCACAGGGCCCCTGGGGGCAGTACAGCCTGCCTGTCAGGAGCAAGCTCTCTGGAGTCAAAGTTGTCTGGGTCCAGATCCCGCGTGCCAGCTGCGTGATGTTAGTAAATCTGAGCTGCAGTTTTCTGAGGACGAATGGGGGTTTCTCCTGGCTCACGGGGCTGTTGGGGGACTGAGTGAGCGCAAACGTGTAAAAGTACCTAGTGCCTGATACATGGGGAGCCCCCAGTAAAGAGGAGCCCTAGAAAGCATTCCCTAGAAAGGCACAGGCGGAGTCCTCGAGGGCCTGCCAGATCCTGGGGATGGGCCTTGTTTTGTGTTGTCTGAAGGGTTAATGGTGAGGGCCACGGGGTGGGGGTGGGGGTGAGGACAAGGGAGAAGAAACCTACTTGTGCTGGGCGTGGAAGAACTTGATGAGGCTCTGCAGGAAATCAGGACCCTGCTTCATCTGGCTCTCCCCGGCTCTCAGCAGATACTGGGGAAAGAGCAGGGCTAAGTGTGCAGCGTGTGCAGAAGCTGAATCCTGGGGGCAAGGGGCTGCTGTCGCCACCCCGGGCTAACCTTGGCCATGACTGAACCTCGGTGATATCTCAAGTGCCATCTGGATAGGACCCCGGGGGTTCAGGAGGCGAAGAGACACATCCCAACCTCCCCTCACCCCTGCAGCGCCCCTTACCTCACACATGTGCAGCTGGAAGACGCGCCGTTCTCTCTGTGTGTCCTGGGCCACCTCCCCAGGGCTCCCTCCTGTCACTCTGGCCCGGTCCCTTTCCTTCTCCAGCCTGGCCCTAGGCCCCAAGGAAAGAGAGGCCCGAACAACTCTTGCCATAGCCCCTTTCACGACCCACCACCTCCACATGCCCCTCTCTGCCACGGGCACACGAGAGTGAGGGGGCCCTCCTGGGTGCCAGCTGTGTGGTGGGGCTGGGGTACAATGGTGAACAAGGAGGATCCAGGTGGGGGAGAAAGACGTGAATCAAATCGCAGCCGCGAAGACTAAAATGGGGGATCCGACCTCGCCCGGCTGCTCAGGGAGTGCTGTTTGAGGTGAGATCTGAAAGGCTGAGAGGTTGCCTTGGAGGAAGCTAGGAGCATCAGACCACGTGGTAGCCGGAGGCAGGGGGCATCAGGGCTCAGGGACAGAGATGGAGAGGAAGGGGCTCCAGGTGAGGCACAGAGGGGCCAGATCACGCGGGGCCTAATTCAGATCATTGCTCCCAAGAGCGATGGGAAGGAGCTGAAGGCTTTTATGCAGGAAGGCGACAGGCTTAGATTAGGGCCAGGTGGGGTTTGGGGTGACCAGTCTGATTTTGCTGGAAGGATCAGTGGCTCAGAGGATCAGTAGGTACCTTCATACTTCTGAACCATGGAGCTTCCCATCTAAAGCTTAGAAAACCTTTGTCCTTTTCTTTGTGAGCAAAGACAGCTTGTAGCTAAGAGTAACCTGGGCCTTCCCCCTACAGATCTCAAGGGTTGGCTGTTTTCCCTCTTTGGGGGTGGCTGGATCTGTTTGTAAATGATTTCCTGGAAATCCCACGCCCATCAGACCACCCACTCTCAGCCGGGAGAGTGTTTCCACATCTGGGGCTGGGCACATGTAACCACAAATCCTCTGTAAAGGAGATGTCTTGCTTGTCAGTTTTGCTTCCAAGTAGGTACCAGCCCTGAGCAAAGATGACAACTGTGGGATACATTACAAGTATCACTACCCCTCCCCAAGCCTCAGTCTCCTCAGCTGGGAAATGGGGATCCTTATCTGTACCCAGAAGAGACAAAGTATGCAGAAGACTTAGCACACGGACGACCCTACAGCTATTATTATCATAGGTCCCTCCAGGCCTCGGTTTTCCTGTCTGTAAACTAGGGAAGCAAAGGCCTAGGCAGAGTCCTCAGGTCCATTCTGGCCTTAAAGTTCCAGGCCCTACTGAGGTCAGTGTTTACATGCAGGATCTGTCCCTGGAGACCTGTTGAGCCATTCCTCAACCGTGGAACTACGGATGTTCTGACCAGATAATTCCTTGATATGGAGCCGTTCAGTAGATGCAGGATGTTTAGCGGCACCCCTGACCTCTACCCACTAGATGCCAGTAGCACCTCCCAGTTGCGACAGCCAGAAATGTCTACTGGGGGGGGGGTGCCCCTGAGTGAGCCCCACTACTCCAGAGTGGGGGTCTGTAGGTTTAAAAATTTTTTTTCTCAGGAGTGGTTATTTTTCCTTCCCCTAAAGCTTTATGATACCCCGAGAGGGAGTCTGTGGCAGGCTGGTGGAGTTAGGGTGGGGACTGACCCTGTGAACTGGGCCGGGGAGGGGGGGAGGGGGTCATGGCAGATGCTATTTCAGGGGATCAGAAGATGAGCAGCAGGGAGGGGCAATGGCTAAGGCTGTGGTGTGCCCGCAGTGAGCCTGGCAGCTTGCTAAGAGGGCAGGAGACAAAGCAGGCAGAGCGGCTGGGAGGGGTGGGGGCATCTCCCATGCACACTGCTAACCTCATCTTTCACTAGTAAAAGTGAAAAATAAGCTAGATGGCTATCAGTGGGAAATAGATACATTATGCTCTGGCCATCTGTAGGAATACTATGCGGCCGTTAAAAAGGATAAGGAAGATCTATTCGTACTGGCATGGAAAGACGTCTGCTCAAGGGTAAATGGGCGAAAAGGAAGCACAACATGGGACAGTGGCTAGAAATGTGTGTTCTAGATTTGAATAGCAGCTCTCTCACTTAACCTTTATAAATCTAAGCTTTATTTGTTTGTTTTTAGCACGGGGTACTTCCTTATTTATTTAATATTTTTCGTACAGGCTCTAGTGGAGATTAAAGGACAGAGGCTAGTTAGCTCAGGATAGAGACAAGCTGTAAAGTGTAAATGGCTTCACGAATTACCACAGCTCTGTCCGTGCCTCAGCTAAGGTAATCTACAGAGCCATACCCTACCAGGTCTGACATGACCTCAGACTACTAGCTGGGGACTTGCTTTTTATTCCACCACACCCTTCCCAGAAAAGAGCAACTCCTATTCCCTCCCTGTCCTCAAAGGATCACCAATGTTGTAGAAGCATTTCCCATGCTGGGAATATTTTATTTCCTTTGAATGGAGTTGCAGCGGAAGGAGTGAAATGAATATTGAGTGAAAAGCAGCGAAATGCTAGTTACTGAGAAGACCAAGGGAACTGAAGAAGGGGACTTTGGGGAGCAGTGTAGCATTCAGACGGGAGCAGGCACTCCCGGTGGAGTGAGGGGGTCAGTGAGGAGGATGGAGGAGAGGAAAGGAATCAAAACGAACCATGCACCCGCTGACCTGATGCCTTGGAATCGCCTCTCCTGTGATGCCTCCCCCTACCACCCTTCCCTCCACCCGATCGAAACCACCTGTCTCGTCTGCCGCCTCAATGCCGACACTATTCTTACGGCACCGTCGCTTTGTATCTTCATTATTTATCCACCCACCTCTCGCTTACGAACCAGTGGGATCCACTAGGGCAGGGATTGGGGTGGCACTCTCTTCCTTATTTCTTACCTATAAATTGGGGATAATAACAGCCCCTTTCCCTGCCAAGGGGAATAAATACATCAGATAACAGATGTAAAGAGCTTATCATGGTACCTAAGGTAAAAGAAGCTTATAAGTAAGTATACGTACCAGCTGCTATTATTACTAATTATTATTTTTAAGCACTGATATTGTGTTGGGCACTCTGCTAGACTCTTCACATGCTAAAGTGATAACCCCAGGAGGCAGGAATCATCACCCCCATTTTATAGGTGAGGAGCCTGAGGCTGAGACAAGTCACATGTCCAAACCTCTCAGCTAGTAACTGCTGGAGCTAGGATTTGAATGCAGCATCTGGATTCAAGCCACCATCCAGTTTGTCGGATGCTCGAGGCTTGGGGACGGCACTGGTAACCAACGCTGTGTCCCAGATTTGCCCCATCCCTCCTTCCCTGTCTGGTTCCCTCTGCTGGTGACAGGCACAGTGTCTCTCTTTTTTTTTTTTCCTTCTTTAAAAAAAATTGTATTTATTTTATTAACTTTAAAATTTTAATTCCAGTGTGGTTAACGCATGGTGTTCTATTAGTTTCAGGTGTGTAACACACTGTTCGACAGTTCTAGACATTACTCTCTGCTCATCACCGTAAGTGCACTCATTAAGCCCCATCACCTAGTTCACCCACGCCCACGGTGTCTTTTCTGATAGGTCACAGTCAGAGACTGTTTCACAGAAGATGAAGCTGAGACCCAGAGGAGGGAAGGGACTGTCCAAGAGCCCAAGCTGGCCAGGGGAAATGCTAGGAGCAGAGGCCTGGGGTCCTGCCTGTCAGCCCCTTGCTGTGTCACTCTGATCGCAGTTCTGGCTCAGAAAGATGGCTGATAAATACTTGTGGAACCACAGCACCAGGTGCTTCATATGCACTGTGTTTATTTCATCTCCACACCAACCCTGCAAGGGTGTCACTGGCCCCATTTCTCAGATGAGGAAAGAGACTTGCACAGGGAACACCCTAGAAAAACTAGGTCCCTGCCCAAGGGATGCCTTTCTTCGCAGCTCCAGGTGGACAGGGGAGCCCTCCTCCTATGTGAACAACCAGGAAGTGAGGCTCCTGGTGGTATCCAACAGGCGCTATTCTGGGCCCTTCCAGCTGCTGCCCAGACTGGTTTGGTAAGCATGAGGTGGAAATTACAGTAACTCACAGCGCACCAATATCTAGCTATACCTGAAGCCCTCATAAAAAGGAGCATAACAGACGCCTGTGCCAGGACAGGTAGCTCAGCCAGGAGACCGCGGAGCAGGGCAGAAGGAGCACTGGGTTCTAGTCCAGGCCCTGTTGATTACTCACTGAACAACCCTCACCAAGCCCCTCTCCCGATCAATTACACAGTCTTTTCTTTAAACGAAACCTTGCAGGCAAGACCAATACGTAAATCTGGTACGGGGCGCCTGACTGTGGCTCAGTCCGTGGAGCATGCGACTCTTGATCTCAGGGTTGTGAGTTTGAGCCCCATGTGAGGTGTAGAGATTACTTACAAACAAAATCATATACAAAAACATATGTATATGTATGTATATGTAAATCTGGTAAAAGCAGAGCTGGCTGGAGATGGTCAGCAGGGTGGGGCTTACTCCTTCCACTTGGTAGGTGATGCCCTGCAAGGCTGAGGGCTTAGTCAAGGGAACTCAAGAAGACGCAGACCATGTGGTGGCCCCACATCAAATTGCTAGGAAGACTGCCTGCGTGGCCACGCCCCTCTCTGGGCCTCTAAAGAGAGCAGATGGCCACGCCCACCACAGCTCCCACCCCCACCCCCACCCCCCGGGGGTGGCGGGGGGGGGGGGGGGGGGGGGGGGGGGGGGGGGGGGGGGGAGGGCCTACAGGCACAACAGCAGTAGAGACCTGAGCGCTGCTGGAGTGGGGAGTCCTGGCCTTCCTTCCGCCTCCCTGGGGCTGGAGGAACAATAAAGCTCCAGGATCTCCTTCTTAGAATTGAACCTACAGAAGTAATGATTCTGGGAGAGAGCAAACATTTAGTTCCAAGGATGCTTCCCCAAAGACAGGGGCGGAAGAAATACATTACGGATCATGCGTATGTTGAAACACAGTGTGCCCATTTAAGTGACGATGTATATGAATATGCAATGATGTGGAAAGACGGTCATGATGTATTTTAAGTTTTATTTTTATTTTCTTATTTATTTTGAGAGAGAGAGAGAAAGCATGAGTAGGGGTGGGGCAAAGAGAGAGGAAGCGAGAGAGAATCCCAAGCAGGCTCCGCACCGTCGGTGCAGACAGAGCCTGATGCAGGACCGAACTCATAGGCCGTGAGATCATGACCTGAGCGGAAGTCAGAGGTTTAATGACTGAGCTACCCAGGCGCCCGGGTCACAATGTATTTTTAAGTAAAGAAAACTCAATATGATTATTATGTTCTCAGTCTTGTAAAAAAATATTTCTTTATATATAGGAAAATGACTAGAAAGTTGTTAATACTCTGGTCTTGGAAATTAAGCTTTTCCGGGGCTCCTGGTGGCTCAGTCCGTTAAGCATCCAACTCCTGATTTCCGTCAGGTCATGATCTCATGGTTTGTGAGTCTGACCCCCTTGTCTGGCTCTGTGCTGACAGCACAGAACCTGCTTGGGATTCTCTCTCCCTCTTTCTCTTTCTCTCTCTCTCAAAATAAATAAGCTTTTTTTTTTTTTAAAGAATTTTCCTCTTTTCTTTGTTACTTTTTAAATTGCATCAACCAGAGCATCCGCCCATACTATGTAAAAACACTCAAATAACAGGGGCGCCTGGGTGGCTCAGTCTGTTGGGCGACCGACCCGACTCAGGTCATGATCTACATGCGGTCATTGAGTTGAGCCCAGGGGCTCTTTCATGCTGACAGCTCAGAGCCTGGGCCTGTTCAGATTCTGTGCCCTCTCTCCTGACCCCTCCCCCCATTCGTACTCTGTCTCTCTGTCTCAAAAAATAAATAAACGTTAAAAAAAAAATTAAAAAAAAAAAACACTCAAATAACAGAAGTACTAGCTGTTCCCCACAGGGCCCTCATCCTCTCCTAAGGATAATTAAAGTGTTTTCTTCTTTCCTCCTCATTTCACTGAGTTATGCACAATGGACACATACTGCTTTTACCAAAATGCAAGAGAAGACAACAGTTTGCATAGTAAACAGAGCTCAGTGCTGGCCCGGGCTGGCAGTTACCTGGCAGAAATTATACTCAGGCAGAACCCGGCTCTGCTCTGCAGGGGAAGTTGGCTCCTTCTGTCCCATGATGGGCAACAGCCAGTGAGAGGTCTGGGAGGTGCTGCACAAGAGGCGTGAGTGCTGACACTGACTCCCCTTTCCTCCTCTGCATATATTAAACTAGCGCAGCAAATAACCACCTGGTGTTGCAGAAAGAGAGAGGGGGAGAACCCCCAGGCCGCCTCCGCCTCACTGCGTGTGTATGACCTTGGGCAGGCGACTTAACCTGTCTGAGCCTCAATTCCTCCCCTAACTTGGGATGCTAGCACCTCCCTGGCTGGGTGGTTGTGGAGACTGCAGCATAGCCTTTCCTCTCTCTGCCCGCTACAGCTTTTTGAGCAGATGGGTCTCTGAGAGATACCGAGGACCATACAGCTTCTTGCCCCAGTGGTCCTGCAGTCAGCCCCAGACTCCTGTCAGGCCTGAGCATCGTCACCTCCTATAAATGCCTCCAGAGAGTGAGATGGCGGGGTGCCTGGGTGGCTCAGTCAGTTAGCTGAACCAACCCGGTTCCCAGGTCACGCGATCTCACAGTTAGTGATTGAACACGTCAGCCTTGTGAGCTCAGAGCTGGGGCCTGCTGCAGGTCTGTGTCTCCCTCTGACCCTCCTGGCTCACAAGCATGTGTATGCCCCTTATGCCTCTTATATCTTCACCCTCCCTTCCCCTCCCCCCCCCCCCCCCCCCCCCCCCCCCCCCCCCCCCCCCCCCCCTAGAAAGTAGTGGTGAGAAATCAGGTGGGGTGCAGTGGAAGTAGTGACTTTGGATTTGACAGTCTACTTGGCTGGGGTTTATGCACCGATGGAAGGCCATGTTGCTTTGGCATGGTTAGGCATGGCCTGGACTGACATTACTTTTGTTGCGTGCATTGAGTGATTAAACACTTTTATAAAAGAGCAGCTTTAGTTCTTGGTTTGAGACAGTTTTGGAGGCAGTTTGTGGGTCAGTTAGGCGACTGACTCTTCTCGATTTCAGCTCAGGTCACAATCTCACGGTTTGTGAGTTTGGAGCCCCGTGTGGGGGAGCCTGCTTGGAATGCTCTCTCACTGCCCCTCCCCCACTTACACATGGGAGTGTGCGTGCACACACACACACACACACACACACCACACTGACTCTCTCTCTCTCTCTCTCTCTCTCTCAAAATAAAAAACTAAACTAAAAAAAAAAAAAAAAAAAAAGAACAATTTGCCCAAAGGGGCACTTGGGGGCTGGAATCAACAGTACGCTTTGCTACCTTTAGGAGGACCCTGTGCTTTCGCGCTCCCCTATGCTGCTCAGAGCCATACTCCAACCAACCCCTGCCCCCATAGCCCTTACTGTAAACCTCACCCCCCGAAACGAGACCCGACCAGCACCATTTCTCAGGACTGAGCCCCTTCTCCCACCTGACCTTTTCCTATAGCTGCTAAGAATCAGCTGGGTTTGGCGGGCCTTGGTCTGAGGTACGGGAAGAATTTTGAGTCCTCTTTCTCAGAAGGCAGAGATCGCCATGAGAATGAGGAAGTTGGAAGTCAGACTCCTCCCCTAACTTTATCCCACCCTTTCTTGTGCCTGGAACCAGATCGTCCTCTCCACAGGAAGGGTACACGTAGAGGGACACACGCACAGAGAGGCTGAGGAGTCTACTCAGGGCCACACAGCAAGCCCGTGAGACCTGGCTGATCTCTGGCCTGGTTTGCCTGGGCCTCATCCAGCTGGAGTGCTCACACCCTCCAGAACTGTCCCCGTCAGCCAAGTAAAAAAGCTGCCTGGCTGGTTTGGGCAGTTCCCAGGCTGGTGGCCGGCCTAAGGCAAGAGGGAAGTCTCTGGAAGGAGGACAGCTTCTCCCCCGGGCCTTCTGGGGCAGACTTCTCAGGGAGATTATTCTGTCGCTTTCTTTGAGTTCTGCTCTGCCTGGAGGCTAGCGCTGCCAGGTGCAGAGAGCAGCCAACTCTGGAGTCGGCAGCCCCAGATCCCACCCTGGCTCCTCGGACGAGCCAGGTGACCTGTCAACAGGTTACCAAACTCCCTGGGCCTCGATCTCCTCAACTGCAGAACAGGGACGGCAGTACCCACAGAACCCACCTCCGTAGGGTTGTTGTCAGAATTGCCTGACCCGTTTCCCGTAAGGGCCCCGGCAGACAACAGTTCAGCCATCCCAGACTGACCCCAAAGCCAGGTCTTCCCGCCCCTCCGAGGGTCAGCACTCCCACAGTGACAGCCTCACCTGACCTCCGGCTTCAGCCCAGCCCTGTCTGCCCTTCGGTCCCCTGCCCACCTCTTTCTTACTCCATCCCATCACCTCTGGGCACCTCCACTCCCCGAATGGAAACTCACCTGTCGCCCGTCCCTCAGTTGCCCCTTCAATAGACTGTCCAGGGGGAATGAGACAATGTTGTTCAGATTCTGAACCTGGAAAAAGCAGAGACCCCCATCCCCCATCTTGGGTGACCATCTGTCGAGCTCCAAGGGGCTACAGGGCACAAGGAAGGGTCAGAGGGCAAAGGAGGGCCCTGGGGTGAGGGTGGGGGGCAGAAGGGGTGGCAGAGCCGGCCCCTGAAAGTGCTGTTTCCCCTTTCCACGGTCAGCCCATCTCCATTCCTTTGCCACGAGCACCCTCCCCTCGCCCCTCTGACTCTGAAATGGCCATCTGCTGTTTGTGTCTGGCCAGCTCCTCTCCCCCTGTCATGTGGGGAACCCTTTCCCCTGTGGTCACGTGAGGTAAACACAGGAGTCAGAGCTGACCAGAGCACCCCATCCTTGGGCAATAGGGATTGGCTCAGGTGCGCAATTCGAGCTGGCCAATCAGGATCCTTCCTGGAACTTTCTGCCAGAGTCCTGGGAGAAACACTGGGTCTTTCTTCTGGTGAGACTGTGAATCTGGGTCTGCTGGGCCATCCTGCCCACTGAGCAGACACAGAGAGAAACTATCTAAGAGAAAGAGAAGAAGCCTAAAGCCAGTTGCATACCTGGATTTCCCATTACAGGGGCCAATGAATTCTCTTTATAACAAATCCTAGTTTGAAAAAAATTTTTTAATGTTTATTTTTTTATTTTTTATTTTTGAGAGAGAGAGGGAAAGACAAAGTATGAGCAGGGGAGGGGCAGAAAGAGAGGGAGACACAGACTCTGAAGCAGGCTCCAGGCTCTGAACTGTCAGCACAGAGCCCGACACGGGACTCGAACTCACGAACTGCGAGATCATGACCTGAGCCGAAGTCAGACACTTAGCCGACTGAGCCACCCAGGCGCCCCTAAAAAATCCTGGTTTGAATTGAGTTTCTATCATTTGGCAACCCAAATTGCCTGTCTGATATTTTAGTTCACCTTTCAAAGTATAGCTTGGGTCTCCCCTCCTCCAGGAAGCCTTCCTGATTGCTCCTCCCCATGGTCTACGCTGACCTTCCCCTTTCTGAACCATGGCAGCCTCTGACCCAACTCGCTGGGTCCTCGAGTTTGTGCCAAGCTACTGGTAATGCTTGGTGTCGTCCCACATCTCAGCTCCTGTCTCTCCCACTAGACTATGTCTCTCTAAGGCGTTAGCCTCTTCCCTGTGTCACCAGCCCCTCGTACGATGCCCAGCACAGAGTAGACCCTCAGCAAAGCTTAGTTTGACTGAAAACAGCAGGAGGAGAGGTCAAGACAAAAGAGGTCACTAATTCAGTTGAACTCAAACACTGAAGCCCTACATACGGGACAGTGTGTGAGGCAGTGCTACGCAGAGAGGTACAATCATGACAGGTGGCAATATTATCTATCACTAACTGCGCGCTTACTCTGGGGTAGGCACTTAACTTGCGTAACCTCATTATAACTCTGTGAGGTGGGTACCATTATGAGCACAATTTTACAGACGGGGCCCAGGCAGAGTGAGTGACTTGGCCAGGGACACCCACCCAGAGAGCCACAGAGCAGGGTCCGAGTCTAAGCCTGAGGTCTGGGGGCTCAACCACCGAGCAAACTGCGTCTCAGAGATGATGCAGCCAGGGCCTGGGCAAGGGAGGGACTGGAGCCATGACAGCCAGTCCCAAAGCCATGGAGCCTGGGGAGCGACGGGCTTTCCTGAGGTGCTACAGCCAGGCTTGAGTTCAGACACTGGAGCCGGACAACCTGGGTTCAACTCCGTCAGCGTGAACTCGGGCCAGGTGCTTAACCTCGTGCCCTAGTTTCCTAACCCGTAAAGCGGGGAAGACAGTAAAACCAAACCCACGGAGCTGTGCTCCAGGATTGGATGAGTTAACCCACGTGAGGCACCGAGAACCGTGCCTTTCAGGGGAACAGCTTCTATCTTGGACCACGTGCAGGAGCCGAGAGGCTTGTTGAGGGGAGGTCATTCCCAGGCTTTGTGGACACAGCAGATGCAGTTGGGAAAGCAGAGGGCAAAGAGGGTTATGGGGAGGCAGTGGTACAAAGGCAGGAACCCCAGGCTCTGCCCTCCCTTCTCCCGAACCTCCTCCAGGAAGCCCTCTCTTCGTGGGGCTCTTCCCCTCTGTGAGGCCCATCTGCTGCTGGGTACTCGCACAGAAGAGAAAGAGGAGGGCAAGGTCAGAGGGAAGGCGGGAAAGAGAAGACATGGGGGGAAAGTCAGAGGAGAAGAGGAACGCAAATGGTAGGTCAGAACCGGAAAGGGAACTGGGTCTCTGGTCAAGGTCAGGGGAGACTGGAGGTCAAGGGCAACCCCAGAGAAGGGTGGAACCTTTCTCAGTCAGGTTCTTCAGCCCACTTGATGTACCCTGAGCCTAGGCTAAGGGCTGGGTGAGAAAGGAACAGGGCCTCACCAGGTTCTTGAAAAGTGCAGCCACCTCGCGGGTGAACACGGCCAAGTTCAGGAAGCCGGTGGACAGCTCATGACTGTTTTGGGACAAGTGGCTGTTGCCCAAGGACTCTACAGCCTCTCGGTACTGCTCCTCATTCTCCACGTGGCCTGTGGAGGTAGAGAGAAAGGCAGAGTTCGTTCCATGCTAGGGCTGGGCCTGGGGAAGGGGCTCCTTGGCCAGGCTGGGCGTCAAGCAGGCTCACTCACCAAGGCCGGAGCTGTGGATCGCCCGCACAGCTTTCTTTATTCTCTGCAGGATGGCCTGGTCTCCTTCTAGGATCTGGAAGCAAATGTGGATAGAGTTCAGGGATGCCCAGCCGGGAGGAGTGCCGGACTCCATGATCCTACCCTCGAAACACACGTATAACGTTTCTTCCCCGGGGTCCCCCTGCACCCCCCACCAAACATAAATAGACCACCCTCTTCCACCCAGACCACATGGGAAACACAGATCGGTCACACCACTCCAGAAGACCACAGACTTTTCTCCCCAACTCCAGTGCAGGCCAGCTAAACACAGTGATTGCAAGGCATGTGGCACAGTGGGGACAGCCAGACCTAGATTGGAACCCTGACTCTGGCACTACCTACTGCGTCAATCTAAACAAACCTGTTAACTTCTCTGAGCCTTGGGTACCTTGTCTGCAAAATGGAGATGATACTATAGACTCCTGGAGGTGCTGAGCAAATGGATTGGTTTTACAGATATATACAAAACGCTTGGGGCGCCTGGGTGGCTCAGCTGGCTTAGCATCCGACTCTTGATTTCGGCTCAGGTCAGGATCTCGTGGTTCGTGGGATGGAGTCCCACATCGGGCTCTGTGTTGTACACGCAAAACGCTTAGCAAAAGACCAGAGGAGAGAATGTGGACATCTCTGTATTCTCGAAGACAAATCCCAGGCTCAGGAAGCAGAAGGGGCCGCACTAGACCCCAACTGGAAAGAACTGGTGGGACAACCATCTCTGTGGGTTGCAGAACAGACAGCAGACTGTGGGGAAGGCCAGGAGATGTGATGGTGAGAAGTAGGACTCGCGTGCCTTGGGCAGGGGTGGGGCTCGGCTCAGCTCAGATCAAAACCTCCCAGGCACACTTCTCTTTCAGTTGGGGTACAGAAGCCCCAACCCCATGGAGCCCTTATGAAATGCTTCGTTAAGCTGGAAATTATAGAATGTTAGGGCTGAGAAGGGCTGATAGAACCACAGATGAGGAAACTGAGGCCAAGAGAGGGGAGCGCCTTGCCCGGAGTCAAACAGTGGGTCAGGAGCAGAGCTGGGTTTCCAGGGGCTGCTCCAGTACCATGGTTCACCCACACACGCAACCACACGCCGCAGCCCCACCCTGACCCCAGCCCCACCTCTTTTGTCCCGTGACCAAAAAAGGGATCAGAGTTTATTTTCAAAGAGTTACCTTCAACGTGACCAGGGTTAGCAAACACATTTGGCATAGTATCTCCAAAGATTCTAAGTGATACTCACAGGAGGACATGCACAGGGCCAACCTCAGGGGCAATGTGGGGTGTTCCCCGAAGCCTCTGGCATGTAGGGAGCCTCTAGAGGGAGGGGGGTCTGGATTTGAAGCTCAGCTCCCCTGCCCAGGTGCTGTGTGACCTCGAGCAAGTTGCCTATTTGCTCTGAGCTTCCTGATTAGCTATCTGGGAAATGGAGGAAATCCTGAGTATGAACATCATGTGTGGGACCAATGGAGGCTCATCCCAGGGATGAAGAAAAGAGTCAAGGATTTAGGGAGATGGGGGGAGAGGAGGCCATATTTGTTTTTGTTTTTTTTTATTTTTTTTTCAAACGTTTATTATTTATTTTTGGGACAGAGAGAGACAGAGCATGAACGGGGGAGGGGCAGAGAGAGAGGGAGACACAGAATCGGAAACAAGCTCCAGGCTCCGAGCCATCAGCCCAGAGCCCGACGCGGAGCTCGAACTCACGAACCGCGAGATCGTGACCTGGCTGAAGTCGGGCGCTTAACCGACTGCGCCACCCAGGCGCCCCAGAGGAGGCCATATTTGAATCAGCTAAAGAACTAAGACATTCTACTGGAGAAACAAAGACGAGGGGGAGGACAGGGACATCACTACAGTTCCCAAAGACCTAGGTGAGGGAATATGCGTTCGCCAAAGCCCTCGATCCCCACCTCGAGACTTGAAAGGGAAAGCTAAGAGATGATTAATTTAAGGAGCTGTGACTTTACTCCAAAAGACAGCGTAGGTTAAAGATATGAACAAATTCCAAAGAGATTTAGAAAACTCCCTAGAAGGCAGATCCATGTGCTTAGCATACAGAAAATACCCAATAATTGTTTACCTAAATGAATGACGTTTTGCAAAGTCCTGGGACATGCACCTGAGAAGTCTGTGTCCGTGATACTTTTCGGAGAGTCTCCCCATCCCACAACACAGATTCTCTGAAAACTGCCCTCCTCCCCTCTAGCGGTGGGCCCTTGTCACCTTGTTTGTTTTAGCCACAGTTGACTGGACTAGGGTGGACACTTGACCCAAGCTGGCCCAATCAGCTTCTCTCTCCAAGGAATTCGGAATCAGGCTCTGGGAAGTTAGCTAACTGATCTGAAGTACTGAAGCTGGGACATCTTTCCCACCATGTGCAAAGAGAAAAGAACAAAGCAGACGTACAAAAGAAGCAACCGAGACCCATGCGGCCACAGAAAAGCACTAGAAAAATGCTGCTCTGGTTTCTGGCACCTCTCCCGATCCCGCACCCTGAGAGGCTCCTCTACACTTCCTGTCCTTGGGTCTTCATGAAATATCCCCAAATCCATCCAACAAATTCCCCTAAGTGCTTAAGCTGGTTTGAGAGGATCTCTCTTCCCTACAGAGACTGCTGGTTGGCTCCCAGCGTCCATTCTCTCGTCTTCCTTAGCAAAAAGAACCCTGACTTTTCCGACGGCCACTCGGCCACTCGCAATAGAGACATTTCCCAGCCTACCTTGCAGGTGAATATGGTCATATGACGAAGTGCTGACCTATGTAATACAATGGAGATTTCACTTGTTAGCTTTCAGAAAGTATTCTTAAAAGGAAGGGGGAGCCCCTGGGTGGCTCAGTTGGTTGAGTGTCTGACTCTTGATTTCGGCTCAGGTCATGATCCCAGGGTTGTGGGATCGAGTCCCACATCGGACTCTGTGGTGACAGCACAGCGCCTACTTATGATTCTCTCTCTCCCCCTCTCTCTGCACCTCACCCCCTCAAAACGAATGGATTAAAAAAAGGAGGGGAAGGACTACACACCTATTAAAAATGGCCCAAACCCAAAACAATGACAACACCAAATGCTGATGAGGATGTGGAGAAACAGAACTCTCTTTCACTGCTGGTGGGAAGGCAAAACGTTACAGCCACTTTGGTAGACAGCTTGGCAGTTTGTTACCAAACTAAACATATTCTTACCATACAACCCAGCAACTGCACTCCTTGGTATTTACCCAAATGAACTGAAAGTCTATTGCCACATAAAAACTTGCACATGGATGTTTACAGCAGCTTTATCCATAACTGCTAAAACTTGCAGACAATGGCATATTGTTTAGCACTAAAAAGGAGCTCCCAAGTCACAAAGGACGCAAAAGAACCTTAAATATATATTTCTGACTGGCTCAGTTGGTGGAGCACGTGACTATGGATCTCAGGGTTGTGAGTTCGAGTCCCATGATGGGTGTAGAGATGACTTAAAACTAAATTTTTTTTAAAAGATGTATATATATATTACTGAGTGAAAAAAGCCAATCTGAAAAAATTGCATAGTGATACCAACTATGGGATGTTCTGGAATAGGCCAAAGTGTGGAAACGATCAAAAGATCAGTCGTTGCCAGGGGAAGAAGGGATAAACAGGTGGAGCACAAGGGACTTTTAGAGCAGTGAAACGATTCTGCATGGGCCTGCTCGTGGATACGGTCACTATGCATTTGTCAAAACTCATAAAATGTACAATACCAAGAGTGAACCTTAACATAACCTATGGATTTGGGGTGATAACGACGTGTCAGTGTAGGCTCACTGATTATAACAAATATGCCACTCCGGTGTGGGATAGTGATAGTGTGGGAGGTTACTGGTGGAGTAGAAGGTATATAGGAACTCTGTACTTTCCACTCAATTTTGCTGGGAAGCTAACAGTGCTCTAAAAAATAAAGTGTTTTTTTAAACAAAGAGGGGGAAAAAAAGAAAAGGATAAAAGGAAGAGAGGGAGGGGTACCCTCTGTCATAACTTTCTCTTGGCTGGAATGCATTTGTGATGTCTAGAGCTCAGGCAGCCATCTTGGACCACGACGTAGAGGCCACCTGTTATGGACGGTGGAGCAAGAAAGTAGTAGCCTTGTCCTGGTGATTGAGGAACCACCCTATCAGGCCTGGGCCACTTATTTGTAAACATTTATAAAAGAAATAAATGTCTATCTTATTTTAGCCACATTATGCGGGGTATGTTGTCATTTGTGACTGAAGCTAACTCCCACTTGCCTACGGGTAGGCAAGCCACCCTAATGACCAATAAACTATCACTTGATGCCCTTGTCAGACATATCTCAGGAAATGGCTTCCTGGCAAGATACCATTTCTGCCCCTACTGCTCTTAGCAACGAAGGTTCACATAGCTATTCATTCATTCATTCATTCACTCACTCACTCACTAGTTACTGTGTGCCTGCATTCACACTCTGTGTAAAAGACACAGACTTTGGGGCACCTGGGTGGGTCAGTTGGTTAAGCGTCCGACTTCAGCTCAGGTCATGATCTCACAGTCCGTGAG